ATGTGCGGGGTGATTGAGTCATTTCTGCACACCGCTGCTCGCACAGCTCCCCTGGGGACCCCGCCACTTGCCTGTGCAAGCTGTCATGAGATGTGTGTGCTCGAGTGCATCTGTGCCAACACTCGAATGTGTCCGTGCACCTAGTCTTAAGTATGCAAAGGGCACATATATATGTAAGTGTGCACACATGTAAGCAAAACCTCTGCCTCGGGCATGTGCGTTAAGTGGACTGGTTAACTTGTTTGGCCTCGAAAGTAAAAAATAAAAAATACTGGTGTTAGCGCAGCTGATGTTGGCCCTGCATCCTGGGGAGCTGCCCCCAGGGCTCCATCTGTATTTCTATGGGGCTGCTTCCTGTGTCCCGGGTGGAGACCACTGAGAGCCATGTGCCTTCCCCAACCTTTCAGACCCGGAGACATGCTTCCAGAGAGCCCAGAGACAACCTGGGCCCAACTTAGAACAGCTAGGTGGGTTCCAGCCCCACTCAGCCATTGGCTCCCTCCGCGCCCTTCCCTCGCTCAACCCTGCCTCGTGCGGGCACAGCATCAGGTGGTCCCAGGTGCCCTTCAGGTCTCAGCATTCCACTCTCTGAGCTCCCTGTGTGCACAATAGCAGCTAACTTCTCTGGAGCTCGTCTTCCATGCTGGGCACCACGGAGGCAAACCTGGCAGCGCTGTGCTGGGTGCTGAGAAGGGTAAAATGGAAGCTTGGCCCTTCAAGAGCTCAACTCGGAGTTGGGAAGACTGGCCAACCCAGACATCACCATCAATCAGGAAACTTACAGACTTGCAGGGAAGCCAAGCTGAGCATAAAGTGCAAGGACAAGTGTGTAGCTGAGAAAGATGGTGTCTGCGGTCTCAGGCTCCCCTGGAACAGCAGCTCCCCCAGAATTCCCTGGGCCTGCCTTGGGACAGGCTTGCTTTGCACTTTGAGAGCTAAGCATTCTACACGTATCAAGATGGAGTTTTCAACGGCTGGCTAGCCTCTGTTTTACAGATGGGGAAACTGAGCCCTGAAGGAGGTGGCAGAGCAGGGTCCCCTCCAGGCCCCAAAGCAGACTAGATTTGCATCTCCTTACAGGCTCCAATCTGCTCAGACCAGGAGAGAGGCCAGGGGCCAGAAGAGAGGGGGGCTTGGCTGCTTGAGCCCACTCCCCATTCAGAGGCAGACGGGCGGGTGGAAGGGCTGGAGCACGGGTGCAGCCGGGGCCAGGCCCACAGCAGCCTGCAGGTGGGCGTGGATGCCCAGGTGAGCACTGCAGCGGCCGCCCTGAGGCTTTGTGCCCACTTGTCAAGGCTTACAGGGATCCAGGCTCTGAGGAGGGAGCCACAGCCTGGCCCAGCAACACTCCCGCAGCAGAGGGCGACCTCTGCTGGCCACTGAACACTGGTCACTTCTCCCTGTCAGCCAGCGTGCAGGGAGCCCAGTGGCCTTGAAAGCAAGTGGATGGATTTGGATGGTTTGGGTGGAACCAGGGGATCTCTCTTTGGGTCCAGTCACAGCCTGGAGTGGAAACTTTTAGGAGGCTCCAGTCTTGGCGTAGTTGGAAGAACAACATATAAACAGAAAGGCAGAGAGTTTGAATCTCAGCCTGACACCTTCCCAGCTGTGTGACCCTGGCAAGCCGTGCCACCTCTCTGCGCCTTTTAGGACTCGGTAAATTTGCAGTGCACGGGACCAGGGCTGTTTCCTGCACACAGCAGGTGCAGGACACCTGGACGGTCCCAGGCTGCCCCTCAGTGAGCTACCTCATATGCCTACTTCAGCCCACCCTCCTCTGGCTTTCCAGGCCTTGGTTTCCCATCTGTAGAGCGGGATGGTGAAGGTGAGGGGGTTAGATGGTCTTATGAAGCTCTATGTCTAAGTAGGCTTTTGCTTAATGTCCCCTTGGGCTGGCTGTGGAAACTGCACTCTTTAATTGGGACCCTAGCAACTAATGTTCTCCTGTGCCCACAGTGGGGGCTGTGTACCATGGGGGGCTGGGACACCACCAGGGTGCCTTCGACTCAGATGGGCTTGACACCAGGAACCAAGGTGCCTGGCTGAAGGTGGCTCAGTTTTGCTCCCAGTCTGGGCTGCCCTGTGTTCCTTTCTGCTCACCCCACCATCATTTGTGTCTGGCTCCCGGAGAGTGGGGCTGAGGCTCTGCATGTGAACTCAGCTCCTGCTCGGGGGACACCCTCACTGCTCCTTTCTCCCCCGACACACGTTTAGAACATCAGAGAAGCCTCCTGCAGGGGCCCCTGGCACCTCCCCAGTACCTGCAAGATGTTTAGGCTGTGATGGGAAAGTCAGAATTCTGGAGCTAGTTGCTACTATAAGCTCTCAGCCTCAGTTCCTTCATCTGTAAAGTGGGAGGGGGCATAGTAACAGTGTCTGTCTGTGCCCAGTGCCTGAACCAGCACCTGTCTTATAGGAGGAGCTCAACAAATAGTCCCCTGTAAGGTAACCTGGAGTGAATACAGGCATAGACCAAGAATTTCTTGAACATAAGAACATTGTTTTCATCTTTGCATGCCCCATAGATCTAGCATAGGACTGGCACAGTATAGATGCTGAAAAGCATCTACTGGGTGAGTTGGAAGCATGCATGGATGGGAAAATGGAGACTAAAGATGTTTGGATGGCCAGGCCGATATGGCTCAGTGGATTGAGCGTCATCCCATGGACTGAGAGGTCCCGGTTCGATTTCTGGTCAGGGCACATGCCCAGGTTGCAGGCTTGATCCCCATCAGGAATCAAATCCCCAGTTTGATTCCTGATCCCCATGCGGGAGGCAGTCGATTGATGTTTCTCTCTCACATCGATGTGTCTATCTCTCTCTCTAAAAATCAATAAAAACATATAAAAGTAAATTAAAGATGTTTGGATGGATGTATAGATGGGTGGATGGACAGGCATTTAGCTGGATAAATGATGGATGGAGAAGTTGGACATCTGGGTGTATAAATGTGTAAAAGTGGGGTCACTGGAGGGATGGTTGGTGGAGTGACGGTAAAGAAATAAATAGGGGGCACTGCCCCATTTTTATCTTGGTGGAGGGATTCAAGATAAAGTGAACCCAGAAAGCACTTATCAAAAATACAATGCCCAAGTGACCCAGAAACTCCACTTTTAAGAGTGTGTTCTCTAGATTGATTCACACATGGATGATGTGACCAAGATGAGAGGTGATCTTGCAACACTATTTGCAGTAATGAAATTTGGAGATTTTATCTCTCAGGCTGAATGGCATGTGAGCCCCCTGAGCAGAAGGCCTTGTCTAGGGTCTCAGATCTTAGAACAGCACCTGGTGGGGGCAGATGCTTCAGCTGTACCTTGAAATACTATGCAGCCATCAAAAAGGAAAAGACTCTTTATGTCTTGATATGGAATAAACTCTGAGATATTATTAAGCAGAAAAAATTAGGTTCAGATAGAGTGTATACAATGCTTTTGTTTTGTGTTTCTTTAAGGGGTGGCAGTGGGGAATACACATAGATTTCTCAGAAGGAGACTAGTAGCTGGTTCTCCCAGGAAGGGCACTCGGGAGCTGGGGACTGGGCCAGCGCTCCGCTGGATACCTTTGTGGACTTTCTCAGTTTTGAACCATGCAGGTGAGTTGCCTTTCCAAGCACAAGTGGAAGCACGAGGAGTCCCTAATGAGCTGCGCAGTTCAGAGTTCCGGGGAGGAGGGCAGAGCTTCCTTCCCGAGGCTGAAGCCAGTGCCGCTGCGAGGGTGCTCGTGCCGGGCAGTCTAGGACATGCAAGCGGACAGGCATACGGACACTGTCCAAGCACCTAGCAGCCATGGGGACTTGGCAGATCTCAGGACCTCAGTTTCCTCATCTGTAAATGGAGATATTCTAGTCCTACAGAGTGAGCGTAGGAAGTAGAGAGAACTCAGAAGCCCAGCATACAGGAGTGCCCAGTAAGTGGTGACATGTCCAGAGATGAGAACCTTCAGGGCCAATGTCTCAGGGTAGCTGAGAGGCCTCTGCTCAGTACCCTGTGCCTGACCCATGTGTCTGCAGTGCTCAATGGGTTGTGGGAGAGCAAACTCACCCCGCAGTGGGCAGACTTCTGCTTGGGCCCAAGCACCTGGTCCCCCGAGCAGTGGGTGCTCTAGAGCTGAACGCTCTCCATCTCTGTCCATCACCTTCATCATTGTGGCCCTGGAGAGGCCTGGAGTCCCCGGGCCTTTCCGGAGCTGAGGGAGCTCCTCCACTTCGCTGCACCTTCTGCAGGGGACTCACGTGAACGTTGCCGAGCGAGCCTGGTGCCCAGGACATTCCTGTCCCCGGACCAGTCCCATGGGCTGGCTGGCCGAGCTCACTAGGCCACCCTGAGGGACTTCCTCTCTGCGAGCCTGAGTTTCCCTCTCTGGACGTGGTGCTAACTGCTCCCCTTCTTCTTTCCCAGGAGGGCAAAGGGGAGACAGTGGAATTGGGAGTGTTTTGTAAAGCATGAAGAGCTCTAAAGCATGGGGGATTTGCGGAGGCCTGTGGCACCCACGACAGGCTCACTGCACTTCACCGCGTGTACAGTGAAGGTCATCACGGGACGATCCCGCCACACACGCGCACACACACACACACACACACACACACAGCCCCATCGAGTGGCTAAGCCCTGAACTGGGAACATGAAGATGGAGCTGCTGTCTCACCCCTAGCACACACCTATGCGTAGAGGTGCGTGTATCTGACTGCAATTCCACGTCACATGGCAGACCTGCCTGCTCAGGGCTCACATTCGTCACCACAGAGAGCATCCAGAAGCACCTCCTGTCCTCAGTCCCTATGGGACTCCCAGGGCCAAGCGTGGGGAAGGGCAGCTGGGGCCATGGTCCCTCTCCAGCACAGGGCTGCCTGGGGCAGAGGCTGCTATGCCTCACAGAGGGCCCAGGAACCTGCTGGGAGCCACTGGGGCCAGCACATCGGTGTTGGGGTGGAGGGTGTCTGTAAGGCTGATCTGTCTGGGACAACCCCAGTGACACCCACTCTCCTCTCTCTTCACAGGCTGGACAGCGTTCATGGCTCTCGGGTAGAGCCCAGCGACACGGCCAGAATGAATTCCATGGACAGGCACATCCAGCAGACCAATGACCGGCTGCAGTGTATCAAGCAGGTGGGTCGCTGGCTGGAGCTCTCTCCTCTGCTGCTCAGCAGCTGGCAAGGACAGGCGGTGGGGGTGCTGGCGTGCCTGTAGCTGGGCATTTGGGGCCCTGGATGGAGATGATCATGGGCAGAGGCCAACTGCCCGGGGCTACCTGACCACCCGCCTTGGGAGAACATTATTGGCATGGACCATACTAACTAGAATCACACACACCTGAGTTCAAAGGTCGGCTCTGCCTTGTCCCATCCCCTCTTTTCCAAGCTGTGTGACTTTGGGCCAGTGTCATGCCCTCTCTGGGCTCTGCTGTGCACTCTGGGAGGATGCAGTCAAGGGTCTAATCTCCTTCCCAGGCCTAAGCTCCCACCCCTCTGCGCTGGTGATTTTTCTAGAAAGAAACAAAAGAAAAGGTCCTGAGAAATTAGATCATGTTACAGAAAAAGAAACTGAGTCACAGAGAGGGGAAGGGCGTCGCCAGGAGTCACACAGCCCAGCCCCACCTGCCAATGTTCACACCAAGCTCAAGAGGCAGTTCGCCCACCAGCAACCTGTCTGGACTTTTCAGAGGTGGGGAACATTCACAGTGGGCTCAGAGACCCCCACTTTGAGAAGCCTGATTGAGATAGCCCCTCCAGTGGTGGGCAGGAGGGATGTGCCCACCCTCCGAGCTCAGCCTCCCTTCAGCTCCGTGTGGCAGCATCTGTGCACAGACTCTAGACGATCATTCACCCCAGGAGGGAGCAGAGATGGGGGAAGGGGTGTGGGCTTTGACATTAAACAGACCAGGAACCAAACCCTCACTTCTCCATGTTCCCACAGTGTGCTGTCCTTTTGTTTCTCTACGTCTCAGTTTCTCCACCTGTCAAATGGGGTGAATAAGGCCAACATTTTAGGATGCTATGAGGATGTTGTGGGTGAAGCACATAGCCCAGCCCTGGCACGTGGCAGGTGATCAGCTAATGGTGGCAAGGCTATTGTCCCCAGTGTCTCAGAGTCAGGGAGGGGGGTGCTGGGACGCATCCCCTGGTAACCATGGGCCACTGGCCTCACCCCAGCTCACAGCCCCACCTCATGCAGCTTGTCCTCCCTGAGCGCCAGGGCCCGGTGCCGCTGAGGCTAGTCCCTGGGAATGAGGGATGTGTGTTCTCTCATTAGCATCAAGCAGAGCAATCTCAGAAGCCTGTATGGAGTCTAAGCAGAGGAAATTGAAGAAGACTTGTTACAGATTGAACTCAGCCCGAACAGCTCTCCCAAATGCCAATTACGCCTCTGTTCGCGGTCACAGAATAGAAACCAGACGCGCGCGGCCCCCTCCCCTGCCTTCCCTCCTTCTCTGCAGGGCCCTCCTGGCTCTGCCTTTGACCCAGTTTCTCCAGCCCATGAAGGATCACTGTCAGTGGCCTCCAGCCCCTAACAATACAGTCCTGCCCCCTGGGCATGAGACTCTGTGTGCCAGGCACACAGCTGCTCCTGAGACCTGATCACCACTTGACCTTTCTCCCCATGCCTGGCTCTGCATCATCAGGAATCGGGGTGCCCTTTACTCCCAGGGGTCCAGCCCTTTCGAAGTGTGGTGCACAGAGCTCAGATTTAGTAGCACACGTGAGTCCGACCTCGCTAGCTACCTGACCTTGGTTAAGCTGCCACTTGTGTGGCTTTGCCTGCAGAACGGGCATGGTAGTACATGCCCAGCCACTGAGTGCAGAGTAGCTGGAAGGCAGGGATCACCTCAGCTGCTCTTCCCAGCCGGCCCCGCACACCGTGTACCCACACACGGGGCTCTACCTGTGGGCCAGACTGGCATGTTTGTGAGGGTGAGCAAGCTGTCCAGATGCCCTATGAGCCACTTAGAGCTCCCTGCACCCTCCACGCACCCCCCCCATCAGACACAGCTCCGCACTGACGTCCATCTGCTCCCTAGCTGCCCAGAGGGTGGCCGTGGCTGGCTGAAGCCTGTGGATTCTCAGACATCCTGTGTCCTAGTCAGAACAGAAAGGCGAGCAGGTCTGCATGCACCGAGGATGCAGGGGTGCAGCTATGCCTGCCTCTCGCTGGGAGGGCTGCGGCTCCCCTCAGAGCCTCGCAGCCTCCACTCCACTCTCGGTCTTGCCTCTCTTTGATAGCACAGCCGTCCCCCCCCCCCCACCCTGGTTCTAGCCATTGCTATACTCACCATCCCGTAGCACCTGCTGCCCAGGGCCCTCAGGCCTCTGGCTCAGCTGCCTTTTTCCCTTCTCAGCCTTGAGTTCCAGGAAAACCAGGCTCCTCTACAGGGTGCCCCACTCAGAGGTTGAAGGCACATCTGGGCTTTACGGGAAAAGCTGTGCAAATCAGCTCCTTCCTGCACAGCAGCCTCCCCAAGCCCCAGATTCCCTTCTGAGCATCTCCACTGAACTCCAGCTCTTCCGGGCACCCAGCTACCTCACCCCTCCAGTTCTTTCTCCCTTGAGCTATAGGCCCTTCAGGGCATATGTCAGGCCCCATGCCAGGCTGAGTTCCTTGTGGGCAGAGGATAGGCCATATTCATCTCAAAGGCAGTAGTCTTGCATAGTGCCCAGGCCAGCATGGGCCCAAGTGTGCTGGGGGAAGGGGGCAGGGATGGACTGATAGATGGATAGCTAAGGGAATGAATAAACGAGTGGATAGATGGACATATGGATGGGCAGTGAGGGGAGCGGATGGTGGATGGATGGTGGGTAGATTTACATGATGGATGGATAAATGGATACATGAATGGATGAGTTGGTGGTTGGATAAATTCTGGATGGATAGGTAGACAGGTAGGTAGATGAACGGATGGATGAGTGATGGATAAAGTAGTGAATGGATGAATGGGTAGGTGGGCAAGTGGATGGATGGTTATGAACTGACTCATATTTGGGTGGATGGATGGATGGATCATTTGGTTTACAGATGGATTGACAGGAAAATGCATTCATCACTTGGTCTGGGCAGCCAATTCCTGGTCTGGGCATCGATGTCCACTATTCCTGCCCCAACAGACTCGGTGGCCAGTGGATGTAGCCCAGATCTTCTGAGGAACTTGGAGACGAGCGGGCTTTCTGACGGGGGTGGGGTAACAGCGTCCAGTAACAGCCCCAGCCATCCCCAGACTGGAAAAGCCTGCCCAAGCTCACCCACCCAGTCCTGGCCTCTGTGTGCCAGGGGGTCCTGTTCTGAAGTGATCAGCTTGGTGGCCTACTCCACAGATGGACCATCCTTTGGACAGTTAACTGCTCACTGACCACGTCTGTGGGCCTGGCCTGGTGCCATTTGCAGCTCCAGAGGTGAACAGAGCACTGTTTCTATGCTCAAGAAGCAGTGCAAAGGCCCCCGTGTGCAAAGCAGTGGCAATCTTTACCTGGCACCTCTCTGTAATGGGGTGTCACCAGGTGCGTTATTTCTAACCTTTGCAGCAGCCCTGCAGGCTGCCATTTTGCAGATGAGGGTCTGAGCTCGGGAACACAGCCAGGGCTGTGTGGCTCAGTGGCTGAGAGGGGTTAGTCCAGGTCTGTCCCGCTCATTTCACTGCATCCCTCGGCCCCTCTGGGCATGCCAGCCGCCTCCCGGTGGAGACAGACCACCAGAGCACAGAGAAGGGGGGGCTGGGCCAAGCCACAGAGCAGCTGAGCAGTGGCCACTGAGTGGGATGCCTGAGATTCTCTCTACCAATGAGCTGTGCCCACAGTTGCCACCCGGAGTCTAAGCTGATGGCCACGTGATAGCCGAGGTGAGGGTGGAGGGGTGGAGAGGTAGGCTGGCAAAATGTGGAAGGCTGGGTGCGCAGGGGCCAGAATAAAACCGGACCCCTGAGCCTGGCTGTGAGGGTGCTGAGGGTGGGAGTGCTGTGAGCAGGCAGCTCAGAGAACAGCCTGTGGAGGCTGCTGACCCTCCTAATTGGGTGTGACATCATGTAAATAAACGTAATAACTCAGTTAGCAGAGGGAGGCTGCTGGGCAGGGAACTAGCCGATTTGCTTGGCTTTCTCCATGGAGCCAGGTGCCGCCAGAGCCTCGGAGGCACCCGTCCCAGAGAGCGCACGGGGAGAGGTGCGCACCCCTGCTGCCCTCGCAGGGGGCCGGCTCTGTGCGTGGAGGCTCCTCCCGTCCTCTGCAGACAGCGCAGCGTGGGGCCAGGGCTCCGGGCTGCCGCACAGCGGTGCTTCCAGGAGAGCCTCTGGGGGACGTCAGGGCCAAGGGCAGCCCCACCTGGGAGCACCCCACACGCCAGGTACTCACCAGGGGCTGTGTGCGCCTCCTCCTGTGCAGTCGTACCCGGGCCTGTGACAGGCCGTGCTGCTGCACATGCGCCCCTTCTTTCCTGCACCCCCTCCTTCTTCTTTCATGGAAGGAGGAGATTCTAACCCTTTCCACCTTCTTCCACCCATTTTAAAGTCTTGCCTTGCACAAACCACATTATAACAACAGTCATAAAGCCCTAAGTGAAACAAACATTTCTACCACCATCCTGTGATCTGCCGTCCCCATTTTACAGATGGGGCGACTGAGGCTCAGAGAGGTGAGGGGCCGCCCTAGTCAGCAGCTAGTAGAAGGTGAAGGCAGAGTGTGACCCCTACTGAGGCTCCCACAGCCCATTTTTGGAACCCGGAAGCTCCTCAGACCCCCTGCACTGCCTGGGCTCTGAGGTGGACCTTCGCTGCAGCCGGGAGGGTGTGGTCCCCGAGGCAGTGTCAATCCCTGCCTCTCCCAGCACCAAGGCCACAGGAACCTCAGAAGGTACCACCTTCCCTGTTGTGGAGGACACACACTAGGTGTCCCACTGGAGAGCCACACTCGGTCACACCCAGCGCTGGAGTCCCAGCTTCACCCTGGGCTCAGTGCCTGACTCAGCGTGGCCTGGAAGCTGTGGATCCGTGGTAAATAAGGGAGGGGCGCCTGCATCTGACCTGGAGGGGCCTGAGCTCAGGTCAGCAGCCCCAGAGCCAAGACAGACTGGGCCCAGGAGACCAAGAGTCAACAAGCCACATACACCAGACCATGGTGTGACAGTAACCTGGGCACACTGTGTTTTGGTTCACCTTCCTATCTGGGTGTGACCTAGAGGCCTCTTTTAGACCCCCTGCTCCTGCCCTGTTTGGCCAGAGGTGGGGGGGGGGGGCATCAGGAAGGAACCTCCAGGCCCAGCCTATCTTAGCTCAGGAGAAGCTATGCCCCAAGTATGGGAGTCAGATGCCACCCTCCTGAACCACGCAGGGTTTGCCTCCCACACCACCAGCACCCAGAGAATACCGGATGCCTACTATCATTGCCTTTCTCTAGACCTTGGTTTTCCTTTCTTTATCATGGGGCTGCTGATTCTCTTCCTGCCAGAGATCAGGCAGGGAGAAGATGCTAAGGGAAGGTGTATGAGGGGAAGTTGGGGAAAGCTGGTGAATCAGGCCTTTGAGTCTCCTCCCCTCAGGCCAGAGGTATCCCCTGCTCCCTGCGCTGGCCTCATTCCTGGGACCTCATGCTCTCTCCTTTCCTTCTCCACAGCACTTACAGAACCCTGCCAACTTCCACAATGCCGCCACAGAGCTGCTGGACTGGTGTGGGGACCCAAGAGCCTTCCAGCGGCCCTTCGAGCAGAGCCTGATGGGCTGTTTGACGGTGAGTCCGCACCCTCATCCCTGCACAGGCCTAGAGAAGATGGTAGGAGGCTAGCATGCCTGGCCAGGTGTAGTGGAGGCCACAGATGGCGGGGGATGAGAGAGAGGAAGACCTCCCTGCTGGAGGGGATGGCCCTCTGTGCTCACCCCTGACATACACACACCATGGGAAACTGGTCAGATCGGGAGACAGTCCCAAGGATTATGTGGGTCCCCACACTTGATGGGAAAGATCAGGCCTACTTTGAGGAGTTCCAAGTCTGATGGGGTATATGTTCCATCATGAGCGAAGCAGAGAGACTCTTGAAGGGTTTTCCCCATCTACTCTGTCATTTATTCATTTACTTAGGTGAACATCTGTTGAGTTTTGATGGTCATCCATCCATTTACCTATTCACATAAGCATTTATTGAACTCTTGTTACATCCATTCACCTATCTAAATAAATGCTGATTGATCCCTCATTTATCATGTCCAGTCCCCTGAGCAAAGTCCTGTGAAACCAATGATGAATAAGACTCTGCTAAGCACGGTTTCCTCTTCAGGAGCAGAGACAGACATAGAGAGGGATGGCAGAGAAATCATGTACACGGTGGGGCATCAGCTGCCTGGGAGATGGGGTGGGCCACAGAACGCGGAGAAAAACAGCCACTTAAACATCTGCAGGCGTTTGATCCCTCTGCACAAGCAGCTGAGGACAGCCAGAGTATGCTAGGCACACGAATGGGATGTGCAAAGGACCAGATGCACACCAGAACCCAGAGAACTGAAATGAATTCCTCTTGGTGAAGCTCTGGGTGCAGGCCCGGCAGAGGCCGGGCCCGGAGCTGGTGGCACGATTTGCCAGACGTAAGAGCTTGCCGGCTGGCAGCCACACGGAAGGAGCCCGAAGCTTGTGAATGCCCCAGCCACACGACCTGTATCAGTAAGTGTGAGGGCACCTCGGCGGCCAGCGAGGGCAGCTGCTCAGAGGGCCCTGAGTCTGCTCTGAAGAGAACGTGGGTAAACAGATTGCTAGGGAGCCCGGCTAACCCAGGGCTTGGACCGGAGAAGCCGAGGCAGAAACAACCAGTGAAGCCCGAGGGCACCATGGTTCCTGTAAATCTGCAGAGAGGAAGGGGTGCAAGGCCCAGAATGCCCCGGCCCAGTGAAAGGAACAGCAACAGTGACACGCGCCATCGCCACCAGGCACCTCTGCGTGCCTGCCCCGGACCTGGCCAGCTAGCGGGCCTTCCCACGAAGCCTCATACCCACTTCATGCAGCTGGTCCTGCGCCTTCCCCACTTTATAAAGAAGGAAACCGAGACTCGTGACCGACAGCCCCGGGTTCCACAGCACTGACAACCCTGCCGTGAGAAGTAGGCCGGGGGTTCAAGCTGAGACCCATCTGCCTCTGGAGCAGATGCTGCTGACCATCAGGGATGCCGGGCAGGGATACAGCCAGGACCCTCCCAGGCTCCTCTGTTTGTCCAAAGCTGACACCATCTGGCCCGCACTGGGAACACCAGGCCACCTACATTGCCCATCTCTCCTCATCCTTCAGCCCACCGGGCTCTCTCTCCCTCCCCCACCCCCCAGCTCCCTTAATCCTCTTTGTGGGGATCCTGGTTCAGGCTAAGCCCCGTGGGCAGGGACAGATGTTACATAGGCCCCCTCACCATCCCAGCTGCAGGCAGGCAGCACCCTGCCCCAAGCCTGGCCCTGCTTAGGACTTGGAAGCTAGAGACTAATCAGACAATGGCCGTGACTGGGCTGGATTGGCAGGTAGGTGGGCATGAGACGATCAGTAACTGGCTCTGCCCTGGCCTTGTCATTCATCCATTCATTCGGTAAACATTCATCAAGTCCCTGCAGCGGCCGGGCCCTGCGCTGGGCCTGGGGGGTGCGGCAAGCACAACAGGCCTCTCTCAGCTGACTTTCCAGTGGGGAGGCTGCCACAAAGCTCATGAGGAGGGGCAGGGTGCTGGTCAGGAAAAAGGGCATTCTGAGGACGTGCCCTCCAGCTGAGACCTGAATGTCAAGGAGTCCGCTTCGGATGAGAGGGAAGGCTCCTTCAGGCAGAGGAAACTGCAAGTGCAAAGGCCCTGCGGCTTGATTTGGTCAAGGAACAGAGCACAGGAAAGGGAGAGGGATATGAGAGGAGGTTGAAGAGGGAAGCAGGAAGCAGTTACACGGGACCTGCGGGCCAAGCGAGGAGAGTTTGGATATTTAAAGGGCAATGAGGAGCCCTTAAAAGATTGTTTTTTTTTTTTTGGTATGTGCTCCTAGTGGGAACTGAACCTGGGACTCTCTGGTCCGTAGGCCGACACTCCAACCACTGAGCCAAACCGGCCAGGGCAAAAGATTTTAAGCAAATGAGTGATGGGATATGATTAGTATGAGGACAGGAGCTCTGAAGAGGAGCATCCTTAGAGGCTAGGATGGAGGGACTGTGGAGGAAGTCCAGGGAGGACCCTGTAGGGTCTGACTAGGAGAGGCTGTGGCTTCCCAGGCAGGGGAAACTGGACAGCTCTGCTGGGCCTCTCATTGCACCGCAGCTTAAGGCATACACCTGTTGAACAGCCAGCCTTGCTCCCCACCCCCTAGCCTGCTGCTTAGTCAGAAAGGGGCCCTTGGCCCACCAGCCACAGCTGCAGAGACCTGAGTCTGACTGTCCCCTGGAGCTCAGTAGAACCAGTGGCAGAAAAAGGTGGGGTGGAGGATCATAGAAGACACTCTCGCGCTCAAGGCACTTTCCTGGGCACCGTGTCCTTGCATCCTTATGCAGACCCTTCAGGGCAGGCAGAGAAGGGATTCTCACCCCTATTTTACAAACAAGGGGAGCAGCTTGCTATCATCCCAGCTGGTACTGCTGACCACCCGCAGGATCTCCAGGCACCCTTCGTCCCTGCCCTGCCCATGGTGAGGAATGGGCTGGGGAGGCCAGAGACCTCAGGGGCCCTAGTCAGCAAGGCTGTCAAGGCCCCCCATATACATGTGCCCCCCCCCGATCCAGGTGGCAGCCTGCGCTTCCCACGTTGCCGCAACTCCCTGGGTGACTTCTGGGAGCAAATTCCTTGGGATCCAGCTTACTTGGAGGATATGAACTAAAAACCACTTAGCCTCGGGCAGAAAATGGACACATCAGTGCCATGCTGCTTCTAAGCAGCTCAGGCAGAATGCAAGGGAGAGGCTCTGGACCCTGGGCAGGGCCTGGGGTGAAGAGCCACTGGGCCCTGGCTGGCCTCTGCCCCACGCTCCCCTTCATGCCTCTGACAAGGGTGCAGAGGTGCAGGAGCCAAGGGCACCACTCCCCCCAGGACCAGGTTTTTCCTGATAGTCTAGCTGCTTACTCCCCCACCCCTCTCTAGCCACAGAGCCCTCTCTGCTTGACCCCCTCAGGTAGGCCTCTCTGGACGTGCTCCCTCTTCCTGTTAGAAGGCTCAGGCGGCCAGAGCACAGGAGAGGAGAGGCAGGCAGGAGGCGGAAAAGGGAAGCAGGCACCCGTTGGCACATCCACAGGGCCTCACCTGTCCAGTGAGGAATTCCCCGCAGCTCAGAGCCTTCACACGTGGCCCTGGGGGTGTGTCACATACAGCATTCCCTGAGCTCTGTGCCCAGTCCTGGCTCTCACCCATGCAAGGAGGGCGTTTTGTACCCATTTCACATATGAGGACGCTGATGCCCAGAGAGGTTAAGACCCTTGAGTGAGGTAGAACAGCTAACAAGTGGCAGAGCCAGAACCCACTGTCGTGCCTGACTCCCAGCAGCAGCAGCACAGATGCCAGCCCAGCCCTGTGTTTCGAATGCTAGCAAAGTGGGAAATGAGGGCTCTGCCCCGAGGGGTTAGGGTATAACCATGAGGCAGAATTGGGACACATGAGACAGTTAGAGCCCCTTACACACAGCCATGGAAATGGAGCACATCCTCAAGCCTTTATAGGAGAGGCACTGGAGGTTCAGAGAGGTTAAGTAACTGGCCGTAGGTTGCAGTATAGGGTGGAGCAGGATTAGAGCACAGGCCCAGCAGAAACCCCTTCTCTAACATCTTCCAGACAGCCTGTCCCGCTTCCTGGCCAGAAGGCTCACTTTTCAAAGTAACACACTCCTTTATGGGATCAAGGTACTTGCCACGTGACCTTGAGCACACCCTCTCTCTGAGTCTGGACTTCAGCTTCCCTCTCTGTGGCATGAGTGGCTGCATTTCCTGACCTGCGGGTCTCCTGGGCACCGGAGCCTGAGTCTCCAACAGCCAGCCTGACGAGCTTACTAAGCTGCGCTGGGCTGGCTGGACCTGGGCAGCCAGCAGAGGGCAGCAGCGCCAAGGCCGCTCATTGCTGGCCTTTGAAGGAGAGGGGTCTTCCTACCCCAGGGAGCCTCTCTGAGGGCACTGCCCGTTTCCGTGGGTGCAGGCCTCTGAAACACGGCAGGCTGCTCAGCTGAGCCCACCACGTCCGACCCTCCTGGGCGTGGTCAGGCCAGGCCAGAACAAGGCAGGGGTGCACATGAGGCACTCTGGGTGAGGCTCCAGCTTAGCCCACCCGGCCACACCTGTGCTGTGTGACCTTCCACAAGGCCCTGCCTTCTCTGGGCTTCAGCCTCCTTGTCAGTGAAAGGAGGCTGTTGGAGCCAAGGACCTTCTCGGTGCTGGGCTCAGGGGACTTGGTGACAGACTCCCACCCCTCTGAAGGCCTGCAGAATAGTGCTGCATCAGCACCAGGCTCCTCTTGCTCAGTTTAGCTAGTTTTTCTTTCTTCTTTCTTTCCTTTTTAAAACCAGAGCAACAGGATTAGCCAGTACTGGCCAAACAGTGGGACCTTTGCCTTCTTGCCCTCAACCTAAGGCCCGAGGGTTCTCCAGTCAGGTTGGGAGTTATGGCCTTAACCCCTTGTGGGCTGAAAAAGAGGTTCTCTCATGAAAAGAGCCCAGACCTGTGGCCTGGCTGCCTGGGATCCCATTCTGGCCCTCTCATGGATGGGCTTTGGAGCCTGGGGCTGTCATTTACCCGCGGTGTCCTCGTCTGGAACAGAGATACTGACACCCCCTCCTGGAGCTGTTGTAAGAATTTAGTGCTTCACTGCTCACAAACATTTCCTTAGCCCTCAGTACCTGGGAGCCGAGTCTCCCCGCACCGCTTGCCCGAGTTGGCATCTCCCGGATGGTGGCCTCGCTGGCGCAGTGGTGCGCACCAGTGCCCGCGGCCTGCACCCTTGCGGCCTCCCCGGCCTCCTGCCCACCAGCGGGCGCTCTGGGCGTCTTCCTGCAGACCCGGCTGCCACAGTCAGGGGCCTTGGCTTTTCTGCCTGAACACTGAGACAGGCGAGGACACCCCGCCTTGGGGCTCCCGGTTCTCTGGAACATGGTGTAGGGGTGGGAGTGGAGCAAGAACCACAGCACAGGGGCAAATAGAGCCTGTGGGAAAGAGGCCTGGGGAACTTCTGCATCAGGGGCTTCTTTGTAGCTGAGACGCTGAGCAAACTCTAACCTGAGAAAGGCGTCCTTCCTCCTTGTGTGCGTGCGCGCGCATGTGTGCGTACGTGTGTGCACATGCGTGTGTGTGCGTGCGTGCGTGCGTGAGTGTGTTCCCAGGAGATGGGGGCGGGGAGGCAGGGCTCCATTCCAAGAGGCTCTGGTGGTCCTGGGGAGGGGGATCTACCAGCTCCTCCTGGATTCACCACGGACACGCTCCAGGCCTCAACTGTTTGTATTTTTAAATAAAATTGTTGGCCTAGATTAGTGGTTTTTCCTTCCTTTTGGCCCTAGAGCCCTTGGAATGAACCTAGATAGATACAAAGCAGATTATGAGGAACTACTCTCATGGCTACTGGGGCCAGGCCCAGCCCACGGCACCCTGAGGCCTTCGAGGGCCTCCGGTGCCCCCGGAGCAGGTGGTCTCCAGGGCTGGACGACAGAGCCTGCCCTTTCTTGGAGGAATGAGCCCCGCATCTGGGAGCACTCCTTCCCAGTCAGCCGTAGCTGCCCAGCTGCTTCCCTAAAGGACTCCGTTGGCCAAGGTCCTTCCTTCTTCATAAGGAAACCTCATTCGCCTGCTGTTAATGAGGACGGCGGGCAGGAGGGAGCTGAGCTGGCAGCCTGGCAGCCGGGGCACCTGGGGATGGGCGGGGACCGCGCGAGTCTGTGGGAGCACTCGTGGGGCCCAGGAGCCCTTATCCCACCCTGCTCCCTGGGGCCTGCCAGCCCTCCCAGCCCTCACCCCCCCTCTTGGGGCCCGTGCTTCCAAGGTTCACAAGGAGATGGGGGGACCTCCCGGCTGCAGATAGGTACACGTTGTTGGCGGACTCGCACCAGCACTCTCGTGGAAGCCTTCCGTCTGCCGAGCCGGTGCTTGGCACCGCAGACAGACCCAGGCCAAGCATGAGAGCCCTCCAGTTTCTGGGCTGGGTCTGGGGGCTGCAAGGGTGCTCGCCCAGTGCCTCGCGTTGAGGAGTGGTGGGCGTGTCTGTCTGGGGAAGCCTCAGCAACGGGCAACTCCAGCTGAAGCTCCCTGGGGGCCAAGTGTCCTAAGTCAGTGTTTCTCCTATGAGCAGATTCGGACTTGGGGGGCAGGGAGCAGTGCTCTGGGTGGGGACCTGGCTTGGAGCAGTGAGGGTGGCAATTGTGCCTCGATGGTGGGTGCAGATCTGTGATGAGTGGGGAGAGGTGGTGGCATGCCAGACTCCCTGGGGTCCGGAGAGGGCTGGCCTGGAAGAGGTGCTCGTCGATGTTTGCCGAGTGAGTGGCCGAGGCACAGCTCTGCCTGATCTTGGGGACCTGCTTTAGCCTGCCTGCCTCACCCATAAAATGGGCACATCTGCTCACTGGGCTCCGAGGCCTGGTGCAGGCAGTGACTCACCCCTGCCTTCCTTCCTTCCCTTGCTGACAGGTGGTCAGCCGGGTGGCAGCCCAGCAAGGCTTCGACTTGGACCTCGGCTACAGACTGCTGGCTGTGTGTGCCGCAAACCGAGACAAGTTCACTCCGAAGTCTGCCGGTAGGTGACCATCGCGACATGGGAGGGGAAGCAGACTGTACCCCAGGGCTGTTCACCACCCTGTTGGCTGGTGCCTGGGTTTCTCCAGGTGTGGCGAGAGCCTCCAGGAGAGCAGCTCGTCCGCCAGGCTTCAGAGCCTGTGGGCAGACTTGTTTCTTGTCTCAGGAGGTATTCTTACGTTTGGGGACCCTTCAGGACCAGCAAGAGATCCAGGGCACACCACACCCCAACACTGGCTAAAGGGAGCTGTATGTTGTCTCATTTCATCACCACAGTGACCCCTGGGCATAAGCACTGTGATCTTTATAGATGAGGAAACTGAGGCTTAGAGAAGCAGAAGTGACTTCCCCGGGTCACGCAGCTGGAAGGTGGCAGCGCTGAGGTTTAAACCCAGGCCTGGACTCCACAGTCAGCATCTGAACCCTGACTCTCCACTGTATTCATTCAAAAAAGTTTCTAAACATACACAAATTGAAATAAAAACAAATCAGCACATTCAGGGTTCGAACAGCCTGCTCTCTGTATAGTAGTCTTCATTGCAACTTAGTCATCAAATGGGACCTCATGACCCCATATCGAACAGAGGCCTGGAAGGGGCCAGGCAGCATTCTGTCTGGGAGGGCTTTATGCCCACTAGAAAGATAGTTGTATATTCCCCACCATCATTGCTGAAGCAGGGGTGCAATGTAAGCTGTAAAAACTCCGACAGCCCTGGCCGGTTTGGCTCAGCGGTCAGAGCGTCGGCCCACGGACCAGGGAGTCCCGGGTCCAGTTCCTGCTAGGGGCATGTACTTTGGTTGCAGTTTGTCCTTGGCCCCAGTTGGGGTCCTATGGGTGGCAGCCAGTCAATGTGTCTCTCTCACATCGATGTTTCTCTCTCTCTCTCTTCCCCCCTCTCTCCCTCCTGCTCTATCTGAAGATAAATGCAAAAAAATGTCCTCAGGTGAGGATTAAATAAATAAATAAATAAATACTCCAATAGACCTGTCACAACCCAGCCCTGTCACTGATGAGCATTTGGTTTCTGACCTCAGTTTACCTCCCCAGGAAGGCAGGAATGACCACGTGTCCGACATTGCAGGGTTCACTAGGAGCTCTAGAAATATGTGTAGTGCCAAGTACAGTGTTTAGACATTGTTAACATTCTGAACAAGTCGGAACAACTCATTGAAAAAGAAAAAATCAATTGTTTCCTCCATATAACAGTAAAACTGACGTTTTTTTCTGCATTTGTCAATCAGTTTTTTGGAGTAGATATTGGAGGAGCCTTAATGAAATCTCATGCTGTGTTTTCATAAGTCCAAATCTCTTGAATGTGGTGTGGGCTTCCGCCCATGTCTGCTGACAGTCGTGAAAGGGGTTGTGGGCACTTCTAACTTTGTGTCAGGGTCTCATAAGCCAGAAGCTGCTGTGAGGTCCTTGTGTACCAGGCTGGATTGAGATATTGCTGTTGTATTGAACTGCTCGCCAGAACATGGTCTTGGAATCTCGTAAGTGATGTCTATTCCTCACGGAATCTGCAGTTTTAATAATAACCTAAGTCAACAATTTTGACAAGGTAACATATACACATCCATGTCTCTGTTAGGCACCTGCTCCGTCTAGGCACCTGGCCAGGGATGGGTTACGATGAGAAATAAAATGGACATGGTCCCACCTTGGGAAACTTGCAGTCTGGAGTAGGGGTTGGCAAACTGTCTTTGTAAAGGACTCGACAGTAAATAATTTGGGCCTTGCAGGCTGTATGAAAGCAACCGCAGACAACATGTAAATAAATGAGTGTAGTTATTTCCAATAAAACCTTACGAAAGCAAGTATAGGCTATAGTTTCCTGACCCCTGGTCTTGAGAGAGAGAGAGGCATTGAACAAATAATCACAGGTATATGTGTGTATGCATTTGTGTATGTGTATGTATACATGTGTGTAAATTTAAGCTGTGGTAAGTGCCATGAAGGAAAATTCAGGGGTGCCATGAGACCACTCAGGGGTGGGGAAGGCCTGAGTAGGAGTTGAATAGATGAAAAAAGGGAGAAAGAGCTTCTTCCCAGGTAAAGGGAACAGACAGCCTGTGCAAAGGCCCTGAGGTAGAAGGAACCTTGACTTTTGGTAGAACTCAGAGAAGGGCAGCGCTTCCAGAGCCCAGGAGCAGAAGTCAGCAGCAGTTAGAATGCACAGGGCCTGTCTTAAGAGTAATGTCTTTGTCCAAAAAGAAGTGAAAACATGGCTAAATTCTCGCTTTGCAAAGATTGTTCCAGCTAGAAGAGAACAGAGTGCAGGGGTGGGAGGGAGGCAGGTGGGGAGCTGGCTGACAGATTGCTGGGGACATGAGGGTGAGGGTGCTGTGGCTAGCCCAGGAAGGCTCCGCTGCCTGTGGGGTGGAGCAGAGACAGGGAGGAGTCTAAAGGATGGGTCAAGGCAAAACCAAGACAGGAAAGCGTGGCCAGAGGGTCAGGGGGCACACAGGAAGTGGGCTCTCCCAGAAGCCCCAGCTTTTCCCCAGTAGGAGGAGGCTCAGGGCCCCTGCAGTCCCTCCGTCACGGGTCTCTCATGCCCGGGCTGGTAAGTGCTGAGTGCTCCCCCAGATCTCGCTGCGGTGCCCAGCTTTGTGAGACACGGGTGTTATCTACATCTATGGACGAGGGACCTGAAGCTCAGAGGGTCCTTGTGACTTGCCTGTTGTCACATAGCTCCCCTCTGTTCTCCTTCCCCGAGGCTCTTTGGGTGCATGACCTGTGTAACCTACCTCTGGTACAGCTGGGGGGGGGGGGGGTCCCGTGGCCTCAGGTGTGTGTGTGTGTGTGTGTGTAGTGGCCTCTGCAGTTCTAGAACATTCTCTGTCCTCAGAGCTCTTGCAACCAGCCTGTGCTGCCTGTCTGCCCTCTGGTCTTCCGGTCTCCATCCAGGCTCCCACTCTGCCTGATTGGCTTGTGCAATATCTACCCTCCCAGTCTCTCCCCTCCTTTCTCTCTGAGGGTCTCTGATGTCATCTGTCTGTCTTTCCCCCTTCCCTGCTGCCTCTCAGACTTTCGCCTTGGTGTTTGTGCATGCGTGCGTGTCTGTGTGTAGTGGTGAGTGCGTCAGTGGGGGACGCACTGGGGGGTGTCGGGGGGGGGGCTGTGTGCATGTCTGTGTGTGCCTCTCCCATTCTCTGCCGCCCTGCCTCCCCACCCCTTCTCCTGCTCCATCTCCCTGTCTGTCTCTTGTCAGGAGGCCAAGCTGGGGCCAGATGAGGGCCGGCGGGATGAGATCATGCAGTGAGGAGCGGTGCTTTGTCAGGAGCGATGGCGGTGAGCTGGCTGGGCTGTGCTCTCCAGCATTGGTGGGCTCTGGAGCTCAGGCCTGGGGGCAGTGCTCGTCAGTGTGTGTGTGTGTGTGTGTGTGTGTGTGTGTGTGTGTGTGTGTCGGGGGTGGAGGGAGAGCAGACACTGCAGCAAACCGCCAAGTCAGGCGTCTCCACGTGGGCCCCTCAGATACCCAGCCCCCAGCTCTTTGTTCTGGTGCAGCCTTTAGCCTGGTGCTTGCGCACGGGAGCAGGCGCACATGCCGTGGGCAGGAGCCTCCTCGAGAAGGTCCCGGGGGCCAAGCTGCTCCTTCCTCTGCCTTCGCACAGAAGGTCACCGCCTTGTCCCCCAGGACTGCGGCATGCCCCCCCCCCCCCCCGCCACTGTGTGCAGCCTGCAGCAACTTGGCAGGCAGCACTGAAACAGCAGCCTCCTGGGCCGTGAGTGGCCCGTGCCTGCTGGTTACGTGGGCGCCAAGCACCAAGCAGTCATCACATCCAAGGTCCCCAAGAGCCGCCGCATGCCTCAGTGACTGTCCACGCTTGAATGCTTCTGTGTCCCCTCAGCTGACCTCTGTAAGCAGCCCAACAGCATGTTAAAATAATAGAATAGAGAATGCCAGAACCTAAAGGATGGGGAGCCCTGGGTCCAGAGAAGGGGTCACAACAAGGCAGGACAGAGCCCAGAGGAGAGTTTAGGGTGCCTGGAGCCTGTCTTCATGCCTCCCCTGCCCCTGGAGCAGGTCGTTGATGGCTCTTTTCTGGGAGGTGAGAGTCACAAGGGTGTTGGCAGAGTGGAAAATGTGGAGAGAGCACCAAGTATGGAAGGTGCCGGGTATCCCGGGGGCATCCTGGGAGAAGCGACCTGCATGCGTCCGGGGAAGGGACCAGAGAACTCGGGAGAGGTCAGGGCTGAAAGAACCAGCCTCTGGAGCCCCGGGGAAGAGGACAGGTGCTGAGTGCAGAGGGTTGTTGTAGAGCACCGTCCACGGCAGGACGTGGCACACAGACATCTGTGGTCCTACTGAGGCTCATTTTTTTAAATGCAGATTAGCTGCTGGCATTTGCTCTCTGGGCAGTTGCACTGTCCAGGCACACGCCTGGCTTCTCTTCGGTGGGAAACCTGAACCCACGACTCGCTGGGTGGTGGCTGACCCTTCAGACGAGCGCCGTGCTCCCCCACTGTCTCACAGCTGCACTTCCCACAGCTGGAGACGCCCGGGCCCTGGGGACGTGTGCACTCCCGACCTCTGTTCTAAGCACACCCTTGGATCCCAGTACAGCAGCCTGAGCCCCAGGACCAGGAGGGAAAGCCCCCAAAAAGTGGATCACTTGCTTTGTGGTGACCAATATCTGCTTGCTCTGCTTGCTCTGATGCATTGGCAGCCCCCAGAGGAGCTGACAGCAGGCCCTGGGAAGGGAGCCGAGACGTGCCCCCAGCCATCCAGGGAGGTAGACTCGGGAATGTGATGGGACCCCTGCCTTGCCCCTCCTGGTCTGCGCCCACACAGGAGGGGCTCGGGAGGGCTTCGTCCGTCTTTAGAGCCCTCAATCCCAGGGCCCAGAGACAGACCCTGAGCCAGGCCCTGTGGCCAGTGGCCCGCCGCCATTTAAGGGTTGGGGTGGTCCAGGACACAGGCATCAGAGTCCAAGCAGGTCATTTCAGCACCTCTCCCTGAACCCCGTAGGCAGGAGAAGGCAGGTCATAAGCCGTTCCCT